AACCAGTGTTGTTTTTCTTATTGTATTTTGTTTATCTATTTCTTATATTTTTTCTTATGGTACATTTAATATGTTGGCTTCTCGGTGTAGGCCAGAGCCTTATTTCAAGAGGCAGGTTTCTCTAAAATACCTGAGGTTAGGGAAATTTGGGGTTTCTGACCTCTCCCTCATGCTACTGCATGACACTCAATTGAATTTTCTTGTTGGTAAAGTCGCCTTCAAATCAGTCATGCTGGATATCTGAACTGGAACGTACCAGGTAATGTGTTAAAAATGAAAGGATGCCACATTGATTGAAAGTAAAATGATCAGGAAGTAGAGCAGGTCATCTACTAATTGTAAGGTTGGTGGTTTGATCCCTGGCTTCTCTAGTCCAAATTGCTCTCCAGTGCATCTATCAGAGTATAAATGTGTTTACATGTTAGATAGAAAGTACTTGCGCAAGCAAAGTGTTTTCATGAATCGATGGATGAGCGGTATATACGAACCAGTCGATTTACAGACACCCTGAAAATCAAACTGAAAAAAGGTTGCAGTGGACTTCTCCATTGTGCTCAATTTTATTTGCAGCAGCTCAGAATGGTACTCAGTAGTTTCTGTGGCCCCCACGCGCTTGTGTGCATGCCTGACAACATCATGGGTGGTGTCCTAGAGGATCCCCTCCTAGATCTGGACCAAAGCATTACTCAGCTGCTGGACAGTCTAAGGTACAACCTTGCGTTTGATGGACAGAATCAAAAAGTCTCAGAGGTGTTAGGTCAGGTGAGAGTGGGAGGTCATGAGTGGTATCTATTAATTCAACCTCCAGGTACTGCCTACATACCCTCACCACATGAGGCCACCAGGAGGAACCCAGGACCCACTGCACCAGAGTCTGACAGTGGGTCCAGGGATTTTACCCGGATACATAATGGCAGTCAGTGTGTCGTTGCCTAGCCTGAAGGGCCCACTAGAGAACGTTTGGTCAGAGACATTCACACCAGTGACCCGCTGGAGGTCATTTTGTAGCTCTGTCAGTGCTCATCCTGTTGCTCCTTGCACAAAGGAGCAGATCTGGCTGAGAATTTTCTGCACCCTGTTTCCATCCTCAGTGATACATTGTAAAATCTTTCTCCCTCTTTTCAAAATAGCATCAATCAGATTTAAATCAGATAAGTTACAGTTTTATGCGGATGTATGCAGTAAAAGCAAACTGATGATCTGTAGTGTGGTGAAGAAAATGAGTTGTATCACAAAAACAGAGCTACAGTCAGAGAGCTGTTCTTATTTTAAATGTATTCAAAATATTCTTAATCAGCATCATTTGCATTGTTACCTGAAGATGATACTGACACATATGAATTTGCATGAACTAGAGATGGAGCACTAGAAATAATACATTTGCAGACGCAACTTTGGGAACATGGAGACTGGACAATGTAAATAAATTTTAACAACTGACATGAAGACCAGTTAAAGTAGAGCACTGTAGTAGGACTGTTGGCACTGTGCCCTTTTAGCACAAATGTGTTTATTCATTACAAGAGGGGAAATAAAGGCTGTCACAGTGTTATATAAGCTGGAGCTGTTTCACAAGTTGAAACATTTCGGATTAAAACTGCTGTCCTCTGTAGTCAAATTGTTTTTTTCTTCATATCTACATATTAGTTAATCAAATTAAAAGAACTTTTCATTCTTTTCATTGTTTGGAATGCTGCATAAAAAGGAAATGTGAACTTTACTAGGATTAGTTTTTTTTCCCCTTTTACACTTAATTTGCCAATATAAGTTACTGTAATTCAGATTAACAGTATCATAATGCTAATTCTGTATTTGTTATTTCTATTTCATATATTGAGAAGACAGACACAGGCATTAATTAGATAATAGTGTTTGTATCGAAAACCGCTGTAGCATTTACAGTTTCATACTGTATAAAACACAGTTAGAATGCAGTAATTTTCAGAATCAGTGACTTACTGTAGTTACTTCAGCTAAAGCAGTTTACACATTCACCAAAAAAGCAAAATATCCCCATTTCAGTCCTATGAAGAGATGCAATTTTTTTTAATGCTTGAGTAACTATGAAGGTTTTATTGTGAAACAGTTACAGGAAGGTGTTTTGCAAAACTCTGAACTCATTTTATCAAAATTCATAAGTTCTGAGACTAAAAGAGGAAAAGAGAGGAGGACAGATCCAAGTTGCAGAGTATGTAGTGGCTGACGAAGATGGTCAGACAGGCAGAGATTAAACTGGAGACTTCAGATCTAACGTGGTCAGGAAACTTTATGTAACATTAAACAACTTTAGAAACAACAACAGAATTCTGTTTTAAGCTGTTTTCATCATATCCGATTCTTACAGACAGAGCATTTAATATTTTCTGTGTACATTATTTTTATGGTGCAGCATTTAGACTTGTAGTTCTGTTTTTTTGGTGCTTTCCTGGGTATGTTTGCCTTTGATAAAATCAGGCAGCTGCAATAATGAGATAAGCCACGTTTAATAAGCAGGTTCCTTTCGATACCCTGTAGAATCAACCACGTTACTTAATGTTAGCCTCATAAGGAATAAAGTGAGGCAGAGGTGCAAATGTTTCAGCTATCAGAATATATGTTTCCGATTTGATATGACATATATTCAGTTTTCTTTGATCATCATACAGATCTTCCTTTTCTTCTAGAAAACCAGCTAATACACTGCATCAGTACCTAGATGATTAATCTGCCTATTTCTACCCGGCAAACTCTGGTAAGTAAAACACTGAATTAAGTCACTTTAAATCAGTCGTTCAGGAAAGAGCAACACCAGAAAGAAAAATAGCATTTTTTTCTCCTAAGTTTTATGAACTTTTTTCTCCTCATAAGGGTTCCCTGCAGTTGGGCCATGACATTGTGAACATTCGCATCAAGATTTTTCATCTGTTTTAGAACTTTTACAGCTATAATGAGTTAGGAGGTACGAATTAATTAGCATTAACATATATAAACGAGTAAACGCACTCATCGAGTCATGCTCCAGCAGAGAAACAGTTGTAACAGGAAGCATACAACTGTGTCATGGTTCCAGGTTTTGCACAGTATTTATGATGTTTTTGTTTCATTTGTAATCTTGAGTTTTTCTGTTTATATTTTCCTGTTGTCTTCAGTGATTCCCTGTCTTTTCCTCCTTCTGACTGCATTTTATTGCCTTTATCCTACTGGGCCCTATTCTAGGAAGCAAGTTCAACAAAACACAAAATATGAGGTTGATAACTTCGAGTTTCCTGTTCGATGACTTGTTTATATTTATGTTCCTAAAAGGCAGATTAGAGTGAGTTCAATTAACTCTGAGTTAATGACATGTGTGATTACAGACGAGAAAGCCATTATCAGTGGAGCTCTGATACCAGGTGTTTAAATGAAGAACATAGGACCAGGGAATATAAACAGTTGTCAGTGAGGACCATGATATTTATCTTAAAAGCCGAGAGTGAAGAAAAGAGTCTTTTTAATCACTCAAGTTTACTTTTTTATTACCATAGAATGAATAAAATTTTAAATAAAACATGTAACTTGTTTTTATGCTGTCTGTTACATTGAATTTTGTTTATTTAATGCTGCAATCCAAATTTCATATTTGATTTTTGAATGTTATTTTTTGGCTCTAACCTGACAGAAACAAATGTAGGAAACAGAAACCAAAAATAAAAATATGGAGAAACACACAGTTCACTGACAGATCCACGCTCACGTCAGTTTTCTGTTAAATAAGAGCTGTTTTTGCTGCAGTTCATGACAGTTTCATTAATGTTCAGCAGAAATCAAATCTACTGATTTCATTATTTCTGCCATTAGTAGATAAAAAGTCCCCTGTGAGGTTTAAAGAAAAGAACTTCTTTAATGTTCTCCAGTGTGAGTGTTTGTAATTTGATCTGATCTCAGATAACAGAGGCACTGTTAACAGTCAGAGTTTAGTAATGTTAGCTGTTAGACATTAAACTAAAAGAACACATGCAGGCACCAAGTCTTTAATGTAAAGTTTTATCAGTAAGGCAAACATTTTAGAGAAAGTGAATGCTTTAATATGGCTGTCTACATGTTACTTGGCTAGATTTGAGATATTTCAGTATAATTCGGGAAACATGAGCCATTGTAAATAATGAATACAGATTGTGTCGGGGCAAAAGAAACCACCAGATTCGATCTAGATCTGATCAACAAAGTCAGAGTTGTTAGATAAACATGCTTTCTGGATCAGACCCCGGCTGTTACTCAGTTTGTTCTGGCTTGTGATTTGTTATTGCACAATTAACAGTAGATTCACCAGACTTTTGGGGGTTTTTTTTAATTCTTTTTCCCCTAGATTGTACAAAAACATTTGAGAACAGATTCTGATAAAGTATAAACAAAAGTATTACTTACGATTCTGGATTTAAGGGCTTTACAAGTTGATTATTTACTTGTGAATTCACAAGAATGCAAACCACTAAATTAGGTAAATAAAATGGAAAACAAACCCTGAAAATCAGCTGGTGACAGACTCAGCTGATTGTTAGTAGCAACATATTTGTTCAGTTGCATAACTCCACAAGACTGTGGCCGAAACCTCAGGTAAGAACAGAACTGCACAGGTGTTACATACCTATTTCCAATGAATGCCATGTTTGTCCAACCCAGCAGCAACAATGACTGAGAAGAAAAGGAAGCGATCTGTGTCTGTTGAGTTGTCCAGTGAGACTCCAACCAGGTAATAAACAGCTTAATGGATGATCTCACCATTAAGACCTTTTGTAATTAGACTGTCAGTATTCAGCAAATGCATCTTCATATAGAGAAACAGTCTGAAAAAAGTACTGATTCTTCAAATTCTGATTAACCGTTCTTCACTTTATGGTGTAAGCAGTCCTATGAAGAGATGCAATTTTTTTTAATGCTTGAGTAACTATGAAGGTTTTATTGTGAAACAGTTACAGGAAGGTGTTTTGCAAAACTCTG